GTGGGAAGGGGAAGAATGGGGTACTAAGGACCAGTGCAGGAATGTGAAATTTAGAATTATTCTTTAAAAGATGAAGAGATTTGTTAACACCAACTATGGAGAAGAAATGTGTACAAACTACATAAGGGGTCATCTTTTTAAAAGAGATTTAGAAGGTAAATATAGACAGTGAGGTCCTCACATACATGTTGGTCTTCTTTTTCTATTTCTGTTCCCTTTACAACCAACTCTTTCAATCACTTTCCTCTCTGTTCTTCTACTTTTGTCAGTGATCAAAGCTTTATGGCCATTGTCAAGAGCTCTAAACTGCCATAGGTCACATTTGATGGGCAGGGAGCAGGGCAGAGAAGGAGACAGGGGACATAAGTTCTGATGTTTGCACCGGGGCTGAAGATAATAAGCAAGTGTGGTTTGCGAGAGGCAAGTGAGAGAAAAATAGCTGCTATAGTGAATAGCAGAGTGGGAAAGAAGGGTGGGACACTGGATAGAGCCTAAGGTTTATGTTATGCACTTACGTTCATTGTTCTTTTAAAATGAATAAATAATACACATGTAGGGCTATTAATACAAGGCCAGTCCGTAAGATAGTAGAGAGGATAAGCTGCTGGAACAAATTCACCCCAAAATATTGTGGTCTGAATGTTTGTGTCCCCTCAAAATCCTTATGTTGAAACCACATGCCCATTGTATTAGTATGGAGAGGAGCTGCGCCCTTTGGGAAATGATTGGGCCAGGAGGGGACAGTTCTCATGAATGGGGTGATTGACCTTATGAAAGAGACCCACGGGAACTCACTTTGGGTCACAGCTAGAAGGCAGCCTCTCTGAAGAAGCAAGCCCATCAGACACTGTGGACACCTTGATCTGGAAGCACTTCCCAGCTTCCAGAACTGTAGAAAAAACATTTCTGTTGTTAATAAGATGCCCAGTTCATGGTATTTTGTTATCCCAGTGGGAATGTACTGAGACAGGCTCACGCAGATAAAAGTTTCTTTCTGTCTGACGATGCAGGGGTGGGTAGGCAGTTGGTATAGGTTGATGGCTTTGTCCAAGTTCCCAGGTTTCTTCTTGATACTTCACCATTCTGGGTATGTTTTCCTGTCTGTGCTGGCAAAGCTGCTCAGGTTGGTCCTTTTCAGTTCAGTCGGTACTTTTCAGTTTAGGGAGCATGGAAAAGTCAAGAGGAAGCCAGAAATTTCCTTTGAAGAATGTGTCGAGGAAGTCGAACCTGTCACTTCTGTTCACATCTCATTGGGAGGAATCTAGCCACATACTGTATTGAACTAGAATGGTGCTGGGAATGATATTCTCTACCACAGTAGCCACATGCCCTTCCAAAACTGTGGTGGAGTTTTATTAATAAAAGGAGGAGTGAACTAGAAGAACAACAATTGAGAACAAACAGAAAAAGCATGCTAAGACATTTTCACAGATTTTAGGTGACTAATCTCATGAATGTTCACATGTGTTATATAAAAAGAAAAATCTCTGTCATTTTTGTCATGAAAAAAGTTTCATTGGCCATTACACAAACTTTTAAGTTTTCTTACCAGGAGATGCTGAAGACAAGTTTAATTTTTAAATGAATTTAATTATGAGCACTGGATTTATTTTACCTTAGTCTTATGAAAAGATAGTCCTACAATTTTTTTTAACCTATGCATTCTAGATTGTACTGTCAATTCTTACAGTTTCAGTGGGGTACTTATTATCTTATTTTTTACTTACATGCATTTTCAACATGATTTCCTTTTAAATAATTTTCGTTTTTGTTATCTAATATTAATTTGAATGGAGCATGGCAATGAATAAGCAAATACTTTGATATTTTCCAAAACAAAAGTTAAATAATGGTCTGGAACTCAGGTCAACATAGGAAACATCTTTAGCTCATCTTGGATCTGGAGGTGCCTAAACCTGGGTTAATTCTCGGCCCACCCTTGGCCTTTGTTGTGTTGCCGGAAGCCTGGTTTAATTTCATGACTTAGTATTCAACATGGAATCTAGCATGGTTACTTTCACAGAGTAGATGCTTAATAAATATTGGTTGAGTGATTGAATGGGGCATTCAGAACTCATCAAAAATTGTGGGTCCTTTGGACCAAAAGTAACTTGAATTGGTATTAATCGTCTTTTTCAAACAAAATTAATTGCTCTTGGGGGGAGTTTGTTTAACAAGGGAATAATTACCTATGTAACATAAGGGAATAACATGTCAGTAAATATGGAAAATAAACAAAGAAATATCAAAATATCATACATTGTAAAAAAGGGTAAAAAGTCTGAGAAGCAACTAACACAGCACTTGGCATAATAGAGTCTCAATAGATAGTAGCCACTTTTTATGTGTTCCTTAGGTCACAGGACAAAGAAGTAAGAAGTTTTCCACCAATACAAAGCAAGGGAAATCACAGCTTCCTGGCAGTTATTCTCTATTTTAATAGGGAACAAATTCACTTCTCTTATAGAGAAGAACGTTGAATTTGAGAATTTAATAAGAGCTGGTTTGAGAAATACTGTCTTTATACAAATTTAGCATATAAAAAGATCCAGAAATTACAGAACAACTCCTCTAATTTTACTCTATTTGTAAAATACCCCAGGGAGCTCAGCAAGCTTTTACAGAACTTAGAGCCTGGTGAGTTTAGCAGACCTTAATGGAGAATATTTTTTATTCAACTGTTTCTCTGGTATTTGCCCAGTGGTAATATATTGGGATAGTCTGAACCCCCAGAGGACACCAGAAGGTTATAGAAACAGCATATGGTATCTGCCTCTGATTGATATCAAAAATTATTTCCTAATTATTTGGCAACGTTATCCCATTTTTCCTCTTTCAAAAACAGAATTCTACTCTTACTTTTTTGCAGTTTGCTTCTTAGTCAGTCATTTGGTTTTAAATTCGTGTACTTTTAGTATTCTCTCTTTTTTTTATTTCCCAGACTTTTTAAGATTGCAGTAATCTTAGTAATTTGTAAAATTGTGTGACATGATTTTTTTTTGACACATCAAGGCCATCATTATTTAGCTTTCCAATTTCTTAATTTTAATAGAATTTGCTTCTTTTAAATTCTTCTTCTATCTTACATAAAATTGATGTTTCCCGAAAGCTCAGGATAGTGGATGCAAATTTTAGTTTCTTGAAATGACTCTTAACTACAAAACTCTGGGGATGGGGAAGCTGTTTATTACATCTTCATTTTTTGACAACTGATAACCAAGGAGTTAGGTTTCTTTAAAACCAGTCTCCTTCCATTAATCCTTAATGATATAAATCTACATTTGTTATTTATAGTTTGATATATCATGTAGTAGAGTTGTTTTAATTTTTTTTTGAAGTTTAACATGGCACTTCTAAAGTATTTTTGAATTAGAGTTACAATTTTTATATTAATTTGCCTACAAAAATGGAAGTCAGCTGGCACAATTTTAATTCATTTACCTAAAGAGAGCAAGAGTGGTCAATTTTATTTCTCTCAATTCTTAGCTCACAACTATGATGAGATGCTCATTTTTACTAATTTTGAATAGTGAGCACACTGGAGTTTGTCGTATTATTCTTTGTAATAGTTTGTACACTTTGTACATTGTATTTTCCCCATTAATTTTGAGTAGTGAGCACCCCGGAGTTTGTTGTATTACTCTTTGTAATAGTTTGTGCTACTTCATACATTGTATTTTTCCCCCCAATAAAATAAATTAACAACTCTGCCTTAAGTCATTTAATCTTGGGGGGCAGTAGGAAGCTGGGTTACATCTTAATAAAGTAGAAAATGTGCCTGTTTTGTTAGGGTAGAAGGTCCAGGTGACATGCATGGAAGTGAAGTAAATGAGTGTGAACTTCATGTTAGTTCAATTAATGGATGCAGAGACAAGCACATCATCAGACATGATTGAAACAGGGTACTTCCTAAACAAAAATTCATTTCAAGATAATGTGTGGTCTGTCTAGAAAAGGCGTAAATTTCCTCACGTACAAATGACCCTCCCCATGAAAATCCAGTTTGCCATCTAGATTTCAGTGGCTCCCTCTTAACAGGCTGTTTCTGGTAATGTACATTTGTCACATACCTGGTTTGTATTTTTCAAACAGCACCTTCAGTAGGTCTCAAATAATAAGAATTAAAGGAACTTGAGTTTCCCTCAGTGTTTTAGATGTTTTACATGCTGCATTTAAAAATGTAAAGATGGGACTAATTTTGGCTGTGTGGCAAGGTATCAACTCCTATTTCTCTTCATCCTCCACCCCCCCACCTCCCCCCGCCCCCCACCTCCCAGCATGTATTTTGTAAGGTTTACTCATTATAATTGTTAATTTTCTTTTCCAAATTCACTTTTAACAGCAGGCTGGTAGCTTGGCTCCAAGAGCCGGCGGCAGGCCCACTCGTGCTCGGGGAGGGGAGAGGGTCTCGCGGCGCGGGCTGGGCGCCGGCGGCGGGTGGGAGCCTCCCCAGCAGACACTGCAGTGACACTGCCCTCCCCGGGCTGGTTGGAGCATCTCACTGGTGACGGGTCTGAAAGCACGTGGCTACGTCATGGAAAGCCAGTCTTTTCAATGCAAACTTCAACTCCTCCTCCTCCCTCTAATGCCTGTAACTCACATCCGAGGCTGGGCGAGGAATCCGGAGGGGAGATTTTCCTCATGCTCACGGTTGTTGCGAGCTGGAAGAGTGAGAGGAAGGAGGAAGAGGATTTGTGGCGCTCTCTGCCTACTACGAGACTGACACGGGGAGGGGGCGCCTAGATTTGCATCTTTTCTTCGTGGTCTTTGAGAACTGCAGGTTCAATCCGATCCCACTGAGCGCTGGCGATTGATTATAAAAAAAATCGACACGGGGAGAAGGGAGGCTCTGTCTTCGGCTGTCAGACTGAATCTCGGAGGAGGTGGTATTGGTGTGTGAGTGTGTGTGGTGGTGGTTTTTTTTTTT